GAACAATTATAACCAGTCAGCAGCGGTAAATCTGATTTTTAAAATGGCCACTCATGGCAGGTTCTCTTGAAACAGAAAGAAATATCACATAACCAAGGTAATATAAGCTTTTAGTTGGCCTATGTGTTGATTGGAGTTCTCTTTTAAGACCGGAGGAGTTGGCCTACTTCTGGTCTGGCCTCCATTTTGTCGCACATAAGTAACTTTGATTTATTTATCGCTTCCGATGCACAGCACATGGCCTGTTCAGTGCTCCATTACCTCTTATTTGACTTCACATATTTGGGATGGGTTCTCACTTCACATCTCAATAAAAGTGCTTCTCTGAGCAGATGTGCCTTCGGCTTCCCACCAACTCTGCAGTAATCCCTTCGAGGAGAAGCTTTTCCTTCTCTTTTTCTGGTGTTTGATTTCCGGGCTTTAATGTAGTCAATGTATGAGAAAGCCGAGTGTATTAATACGTCTCTGCGATGCACAAACATGGCTTCTGTCAGTCATCTGCAAGTGGCAAATGTGTTAACCCATTCCGTTTTGAAAGAATGCAAATGCGTCTCTGTTTAGTAAAATAATGACAAGTGACATGAAGCCACATCTGCTTTTATGTAACTTGGAAATGCAGTAAAACACAGGCAGCCATACTGGAACCATGCTTAGGCTTAGGGCACTTTGCCATGGGCTAACACATGTATTTGAATGCATGTTACGACATGCATTAAATGTTCGATGCATGGGCTTCCTTACACAGCAAAAATCGGGAATGCAGTATTTTTTTGGGATGCACGGGATACCGGTTTTTCGGTATCAAGTATGAGTACCAATATTTTTTTATGGTACTCGCCGATACCGAATACCGGCATCCCGAGGTACCGTGGGGCTGGCTTATCAGGAAGCGGTTCATGATGAGCCATCTGGCTTCCTGATTGCCTGGGAAGCCGGTGTTCTATGGAAAGAACACCGACTTCACGTTGACTCGCAACACTGGTGAGGCAGACTGGCTTCCTGATCAACCAGAAAACCGGGCAGCGGGTAATGATCTGCCTTCCGGCTTCCTGATTGGCCAGGAAGCCAGGCTGCCTAGCAATAAGGGAAGTCAGCTTCCTAGCCAATCAGGATGCCGGGAGGTGGGTCATCACGTGCCGCCCGGCTTCCTGATTGGTCAGGAAGCCAGGCTGCCTAGCAACAAGTGAAGCTGGCTTCCTAGCCAATCAGGAAGCTGGGAGGCTGGTCATGCTCCCCTGCGGCACTGCGATTCTCTCTGACTGGAAGTTCCGGTATTGGGGAAAGTATCAAAGCATTTGGGCGAGTACGAGTACTCACCCAAATACTCGGTATCAGCACCGATACAAATACCAGTATCGGTATTGATGCATCCCTAGTATTTTTACCAACACAGCCACACGGCAGTACCTTTCCATGTGTTTCTGTGCTCTACAAAGCAAAACATTGGATTGGGTGGCAATCAGAATGAAGCAGTGCACCAACTTGCACATTGTGTGCTATGCTATGCTATGCGTTACCTCAAGCTTGGGAATGCAGCCTTAGTGGGTGACCATATTTTCCTCAGTGGATAAGCATGACAGACATCACAGGTCTGAGTACCAAACAAAGCTCATTCCTTACAGCTAAGCTCTAGTGTTTCATCTAAAGCCATTAATAAATATTAAAGATGAGCAACCCCTGGCAAGTCCAGAGGGGCAAACAATCAACGTAATTTTGTAAAACTGCTATTTTCATTTATTAGTATGGCATTAATAAGATATTAATAGAAAATCACTCAATCTGTATATTGGACAAACGGTTATTTGTTCTCCTTCCCTGACTGGCTATATGACAATGTAGGCCTTTTATTTAGGAGAGTATTGCTACGTCAACCCAAACGTCATTCACAAATAGGGCTGGATCACATGAGTCTCACTATATGGGACTTATGTAGTCTCTCACTCTGTGAGATTACATGCGAACAGTTGCGGGTGGTGGCAGTTTTCATTGTATTGTACAGCGCCTCGTGCCCCCAGCAGATCACCTGAGGAATTTGTGGGATTCATGAGATCCACATAGGCAAATGGGGCCTTAAAAACATTGTTTAACGGAACAAAGGAGCTCCTGTTAATCTAACGAATACGCATAAATGCATGGCAACTTTTCTTGAACTAATCCTTTAAGATGAGATCGAGTTGAATTTGCGCTGTCAGAAAGTACTATGGCGGTGACATTTGTTAAAATTCCATATGACGCTGCAATCGCTTACCGGAGTGTTTAATGCTTCCAATACATTTTATGTATGTGTTGAGATTGGAAAACTGGACAAGAAGTGAAGTGAAATCTCCCCAGTGGAGTACAGACACTAAACAAAATCTGAAACGGCCTTTATCCAATCCGTAGAAGCCTATTGTTGTTTTTGTGCCCAGTTTATAAATATACAAGTACACCAGGGCAGCCATATTACCATACGAAGCCTCCGCCACCTTCCTAATAATACTGCACAGCGATTGTGATTTACCGTCCCTCTCTCGGTACAATACAGCATTCATCTTTCGCGATATGCATTTTTCTTTTGCCCATTTATTCTACAATGAAGGCTATGTGGCCACTCGCTTGCAGCACTTAACTTTTAGCTCATGTTAAGTGAAGAAGAGTACAAGATTATTTTTTGGAGCATGCAAAACATGAATTCTCAGAACACTGGTGGAAAGCAAAGTAACAAAATAAATAAATAAAAAGAATGGAATCTTCACTCCACCGTCTCTATGTTGTTCCCAAAGATGGTTTACCTTCCCAACGGCCTAAGCTTGCAATATTTAGGGGGAGAGCGAACAGCTACACAGATATTTCACATATAAATATTGGCAATACGAAGGGCTGAAACCACACCGGGGCCTAAACCTGAATTGGACGGGTTGAATCTTACACTTGATGGATCTCTGTACCTGAATATCTATCACTCATGAACGCCTGGCATTTTCCTCTATACCTTCAGTATTGAATGGTAAAGTATATCTTTAGCCAGTATTTTTTAGTTTTAATGAAGGGAATAATTAGAACCTCTCTCCTGTTTTTTGTTGTTGCTACCTGTGTCTCACTGGGGAGATTTCTTCCACTTCTTGTCCCATGGACACAGGAAGCAAGTGGAAATCTCTCCAAATTGGAACCCCCCCCTTTTTAGGCAGTTGTTACCAAAACAGTTGTCTCCATTGGAAGAGTCACCTGTTGCTCCAGTGGCAAAACCTTGGATTTTCCATCCAATGTACAAAAGTATAAATTGAGAATACCCAGCAAGGCCATAGCCACCAATAAATACCTGTGTATATAGTTTAATGAGAGTGCCAAACAGCCTGAGAGTCCAAAAACTTTTATTAATAGTAATGGTTCACAAAAGACAGAACAGCCAACGCATTTTGGGAGCTTAAAGACCTCCCCTTTAGGGCTTAAACATAACTTATACTAATAGGGACTCAAAGCTGGCACAAACCGAGAGTTAAATATTATTTGCTGTATAGGGTATAGCCAGAATCTGTGAATAAGCACTGTTGCTGAATCAGATTTTGGCTATACCCTATACAAAAAAACGGTTAGTTTGTTTGGCACTGTTATTGGCTTTATACATGTGAATTTTCAATTCTGGGCCCCTTGTTTGAGGCACACCCCATTTTTTTGAGAGAGCGGCCTCACAGAGCCATTGTGCTTTTTCACAATCTGACCGATATTTTGATAATTTGACTCCAGCACCTCATCCCTACCTGTTCCAGACCACTATAGGGACTAAAACTCCTCCACACTCTATATTAAAAACCCAATAACAATGTTTTGGCTAGTGGTATACATTAAGTACTTTTCATATTGATAACAGTAAGGCGGACTTGTGCTGCTGATGATAGTAATGGGCACTTAGGTTAGGATCAAAATTAAACATTGGCTGGATGGGATATGGCATCCTTAGCATAGTCCTTAGGTTGTTATCTGGTAGTTTTGCATTGTTGGTGGGTTACAGAAAGGATGCTGCGTTGTTTCTTATTATTATTATGACACCAGAATCTATGATAAAAACTGAATAAATAATATCTTTTTCTATAGAGTGATTTGTTTTACTCAAAATAACTCTGGTTTCCTTTTGAATCTCCAATCCGTCCTAAGTCCTAAGCATAAGAATATTTCTATGCATTGTGAAGACACGAAGCACTAATTTCTGCTCCCGATTCCACACAGTTCTCTGCTCTAGGGTTGGAAATTGAATGGCACCCAAATGATTAATCAGCAATAGCAACAATAAGGTAAAAGGTAAAAACAGTTCTAACATTGATTTACCATTTTCTACAACACTACAATGAAGCATCATGTACAGAATCATTATATTTTTTTGTATCTGAAAGTAGATATAAACCCTATCAGTTTGTGATGGTGATTTTTAGTCTGCTAAAGCACAGTGGCTGTCAGAGTCTTGCAATGCCTCATGGGATTTGTAGTTTAACCAAAGTTTGGCTACCCCTGCCCTACATCCTTACTGCAGAGGTCGTGAATGTGGGCAGCAGGAGAGGTGAATATTTATGTCTTCTTTAGAGAGTCACTTTAATAAATCAATTAAACATTTCAAATTTGGGTCCATGTCATTTGTATACATTTAATACTTATATACCAGCAAAGTATGACCATGACTCAACTCCATATTTATGTCTTCTTTAGAGAGTCGCTTTAATAATCAATTAAACTTTTCTCATTGGGGTCCATTTCTTTTGAATACATTTAATACTTATACTAGCAAAGTTTGACCATGACTCAATTCCATATTTATGTCTCCTTTAGAGAGTCGCTTTAATAATCAATTAAACTTTTCTCATTGGGATCCATTTATTTTGTATAGATTCAAATACTTATACCAGCAAAGTATGACCATGACTTCCATATGTGCAATATTCATTTTTGAAAGGAATTTGTGCTCCATTATACCATTTTTTGAGGGGTGATTAGGAAACTTTTGACTGAAGGGATAAACCAAAGAAATGTACCTGTGACTTTTCCTGTACAGTGTCCTCCATCTGTGGGGAGCCTCCAATGTTCTTCCAGCGATCACTGCCCATGTTCTGCCGGGGCAAAGGACACAATGACACATCGATGTCACCTCTATTTTTTTTTAAAGTAACACATGTATTCATTCTAAACAAAATATAATTATAATAAGAGCTCAATCCATCTGAAATGGATATTTTGCTTTTGGGTGACTGTGAATGGATGGAAATGTCGACTACTTCTTGCATCTCTTAGGATTCCTGGTGGATAGACCTCTCTACATCCAAATTCTCAGCCTGCCCATTTGCCACTTCCCTTTTTGAGGATATCGCTCTCCATACGGTTGATAGTAGAGTTAGACTTTTTGCAGCAGGAGAAGTGAGGTTTCAAGATGGGGATGGCAGCCCCATGCCGGTATCTCACTGCTGGAATTCCAGAAAGACATAAAAAGCGGTAGATAATTTGGTCCACCCTTCACCCATAAATTAAATACTAGTTTTTGATGAGCTTGCCAGTTTACTTGGTAATGATGCCGCAACGTCTTGAAGCACAGCATTATGGCACTAAATGCAAATAGTACTAGGTATAGGTTGAATGTGTGTTTCAGGAATTAAACAGATGCTTAGAATTTAAGCCTTGAAAAGATCCATTGGAACACTGCTTGTGTTTAAGATGGGAGCGATGCAAGTTTATTAATCCACATACATCAAAAGGAGCAATCTTCCAGTAGGGCAATCTCCTATTCTCGAATTCCTAATTTTTGCATCACATTCCATGACTACACAGGCACTAGTGACGCTCCTGTTTTGTGTTACTCAGTAAAGCAATTGGCTGCATACACACTACAGGCTATATTAATATGTATTGCACAGGCATCTCTATTAATATATATCTTTCAGAGGCACGGCTCCTATGGAGCAGTATACTCTACAGCTATCACAGTCTCCCTCCAGCAGATGTGCCCAGAAACACAAGTACTTTACATCTCTAGAATCAATAGCAAGGAGTAAAACACATACACATATACCTTGCTAATCAAAAAGTGACACAGTCAATATGCCGCTTTACTGGATGCCATATATCTACGGTAATCACAAGCACCCTGTATATTTGATGTACTGCTGTTTCACGCACTGTCTCTCTAATAACATGCAATCACTGCCAGCAACGAGGTGGGTACTGCACTCACATACAGTAATGCAATAATCAAGCGCTATATATAGTTAGAGAGCAAGATATACATATAGACAGATAATTAGGAGGTTGTGTGAATGATACTGGTATTAAAATTCACTGCAAACAGATTAGGATGATGGGGGAACATGGAGAAGGTGAGAAAAGAGGAAGGGATAGAGCAAAGCAAGACATAGGGATAGATGGATAGATAGATAGATAAAGTTCTTGCACCATTGGAGCTTACAATCTAACGCAGTGATACAAGCACACACAAGTTTTAAGACCAATTAAGGCAGGTACAGAAGTCAAATGGACAGACAGGCAGGTTTACTCACCTGGTCTGGTCATTCTACCCATGCAGAATTGCTTTGGCAAACTCTCTAAGACTAATCCCAGTTGCCTATCCTACCTGCACAGTCTAGTCTAGCAGATGGGACTCCTCTGGCTAAGGCAATCCAGAATGCAATTTGCGGATTTCGACACGATCACCTTCACCCTCCACCACGTCTCGGATCCAGACCGTCCCTCTTATTTTCGGTTCTCTTTTCCTATTGCCTTTCTTTGAATTTCTCCTATTATAAGTGCCTTTATTCTATCCTTAGCACACCTTTAGCTCTCTCCTATGTCAACTTCTTTTTTTCCCCCCTCTCTCTCTCTCTCTCTCTCCCTTCTATTTAATCTGCCTAAAGCAGCCTCAGCTGCTAATTCACAAATCTCTAATCTGCTTTTCTGTGGAAGTCTAATGAGAAGGAACAAGCAGCTCCCATTCCAGCTCTGCAGCCCCCACAGTTCTGCTGGTGTAGGAAAACTCCAACACAGACTGCTCCCCCCAATCCAACTCTGCTGCTGCATATACAAAGATCGGACACAAGCGAAGCACTGCAATCATTCTGACACCAGCAGAGCGAAAGGAAGTGAGAGAGATGCAGGGGAGGGATGCAGGATAGAGATGTAGCCAGACAGGGATAATAGAGTCAGGGGAAAAAAGCACTTACCTACTAAATATACTGAGGTGCCACACACACAGAAAGAGATGTCTCCATCACTAGAGCTCAGCTTGTCCCAGCTCAGGCTCTCTCTGCCGCTTGCTAAGATGCATTTGGAAAAAGCAGCTCGCAATGGGTAGGGGGCAGTGCTGGGATGAGCTTAGAGCTGGAGATAGAAAGGTCTCAGAGATTTCTCAATTATGGTGATATTAGTCAATGAAGTCGTCTTATCTGCTCACCTTTTGTTTCCCAGCCTCACTTGATTTCTTTCATATGTACATTATTGCAGTCAGCATTCAATAATGCTTCTATTACTTAGGGTTTTTTTTTTGCAGAGTGTGCCAATTTTATGCATTTAAATGATCAGCCCACCCTAAACTGGCATGTTTTGATAGATGTTGGAAGGTTAAAGAAGAACTCGGGGCAAATTAAATCTTACACCTTGCGGTGGGGCAACTCCAGTGCTTGTTTTACCTAGGAGACTAAAATATCAAAGATATACTCACCCAAACCGCAGTCCTGGCTGGCACTTAGACTAGTCCCTTCAGCTTGTCTCCTCCTCTACTCCAGCGATGAAATGTACCTCGGTGTCCTCACATGCTATACATTGTATAGGATGTGATGATACATAGGACCTTAGACTGGTGGAGCACAGAGGGAGAAAGGATCCAGGGACCGGTCAATGAGCCAGCTAAGATTATGCTTGGGGTGAGTATAAAGCTGCCCATACAACTCACAACCATCGCACGACTTTCGTTGTGCGAAGGTTGTAAGGTAATTAAAATCTCGTACGATCTGCCCATCTTTGACAGGCAGATCATACTTGCGATCATCGCAAGCCCTCCCCGCTGAGGGGAGGGCTTCCGATGATTCCAATGCTGAGCGGGCAGTGTGCACTTGCGCACACCGGCCCGTTCGGCATTTGTCTTCCGAGCATGCCACTAACCCGGGTTTTTGATCCTGCTCGGAAGACAAAAGACGTGCGACCGTAAAGTAGAAACGGTCGCACGCCTTCCATATACCTGCCGATTATCGTACGATCTTGGGAACACCCGCGATTATCGCACGATAATCGGCAGGTGTATGTGCACCTTAACTTTGTTATTTTAGCTGCCTAGACAAAATGAGCACTTAACCCTTGCAGTGTGGGGGTAGCCGCACTAGAAGGGTTAAGATTTTATTTGCCTGGATTTTTTTCTTTAAAGCAAATCTGGATGAAGGCAGTCAAGAGAGATGACAATCTAACAGCAGATGTCTAGACATATTTACATGAACTTTTGTTTAGTCTCTCCCAAGCACCCGAACCAAGAACCCTTCATGAGAAAATATGGGGGCTGCCATCGTTGACCTCTTCCGATTTGCTAGTTGCCTGGCTGTCATGAGGCTTACTTTCTTCAATAGTAAGTGATATGGCCCAAGTGAGCAGATGACTTTTCCAGTTTGCACACTTGTCTCAAATCAATGATTCAGAAAATATTGAAGAGTGCCAGCATTACAACCAGGCAAGTAGTATTTTAAGGAGGTCTGAAATGGCAGCAACCATTGTCTTAGGACAGGTACACTTTAACTTAGCTGATCTTCTTTCCATTTAGCCTTGCTGCATTATTTAAAGAGGACCTGCGCTGTGCCCCAAAGAAGGGAGGACAAGTCACCAGTATTGTTTGGAGGCTTCCTGCAGCTGATGTTTCCCCCATGACTTGTTCTGCACTGTGTCTTTGTATGGAAGAGTCCAGCTTGTTAGAGAGCAAGGCTTTGCTTACGAAGTTATAGTAGATAAGGTTGGAAAAAAGACACAGGTCCATCTAGTCCAACGCGTTTGCTTGTCAGATTAAGTTACCAGTTCTATTCATATGCCTGTATATTGTGCTCCAAAAGTTTTTTAAATTTGTCAGTGCTTCTAACTTTTACCACTACCCAGGGAAGGCGAGTCCACAACTGCTCCGATCATAACAAACTCCCTTCACAATTTTAGAATAAACCTCCATTCCTGCAACCTTAAGTTGTGCCATGTGTCCTCTTCAAGGACCTAAGAGTAATCAAGTTGTCGCCATTGATTAATTTGTAGATAGTGATCATGTCTCCTCTATGGGCTTGTTCACACCAACTGCGGTGTGTTCCAGAGCGGTAGCTGCTGGAATGCACCGCAATCGCTCACAAAAGTTCCCCTTGCGTTTTGGGGCGTGACAGTGCATTGAAGTCAATAGCACCGCAGCCACACCCCACCCACCTGCAGTGCGATCAGAAGCGTTGCAAAACATTGCCTGCTTTCCGTTCCACTGCAAATGCAAAAAAACAGAGCAAGCAGCATTTTTTTGCGTTTGCAGTGAAAGGGAACGCAGGCAATGTTTTGCCACATGTCCAATCGCACTGCGGGCAGCGGGGCCGTGGCTGCAGTGCCATTGACTTCAGGGTGCGCAGGGTGAAGTTTTATGAGCGATTGCTGTTGGTGTGAACAAGCCCTAAGGTAAATATGTTTCGATTACTTAATCTTTCCTCATAGTTTGAGGCCCTGTATCCCCTTTATTGACTTTGTTCCCCTTCACTGGAACCTTTCCAATTCTAGGATATGTCATGCTTCATCTCAGACTCTTCCCCTGATAACTGGTGGGGAATGTTCAGAAAGCAGTAGTAGATGTGGTGGAAGCACACAGTCAGAATGAATAAGGCAGAAGCAGGGAGATCCTGGCACTGCAGGTCCTCGGACTCAGCTTCCTCTCCATCAAGGAGAACAAAGAAAGCACAGTAGTGATATTAAAAAGGTCGTTGCACAGGTTATCACTCCTTAAAATAACACTAGCTTCAGTCTGGTGATAACTGTGATTTTCCAGGTGTCTATGGATGAAAGCAGGGGAAGGAGCTGTTTGAGGAAGTGATAAAATAACACATCATGAGATTAAAAAACATTTTATTAGGAAATAAGGCTTTCAATGGTTAAATGTACCTTTCATTTTGGAAAAAATGGAACACAAATCTTTGTAGCATTTTTATGTTTTTAAATTGAACATGTTTCAGAGAAGTTCACAGGATAAAGATTTTTATCATAAATAAAAAAGCATTGGTATTAAACGAACTCATCTACGTTAGTGAATAGAGTCTAAAATGTAAATCTTTCAGGGTTCTGATTAGATACAATCAAACTTTCTTGATGTTCCCTATAACATAGAAGAGCTTTACTTTTTGTGTTCACGTCTGCTTTAAAGGGAATATATTATATTTTCAACTTATTTTTTATTTAATAGAAACAATCTTCGTAAAAATAATCCCAAATAAGATCATTGATATGTATTAATGTTTTAAAAACTGAATTTTTATGTATAATTTATAAATTAAGTTATACTAGGGGCAGCCAAGTTTACCTCTACATACTGAGGATTTGCTTTCTGCTTTAGGGCCCTCTCACACTATATGCGGTGACCTGCGTTTTTCTGCACAAGACACTGCTTCTGCACATGTTTTTGCACATCAGACCACACATGTCAACAAACTGCATTGCACCGCACTGTGGTTCAGAAATATTAATGTAATGTAACACACTGGCTCATCATCTAAAATGCAGCTAGTGTGAACGAGCCCTTACAGCAGGGGTTTCAAACTCTTTTGACTCGGGGGCCACTCGACAATTTTTTTTTCTCCCATGGGGGCCGCTTATCAAATTTCGTACATCAAAATAAATTGTAATTATATCCGGTTTGGTACTACAGACCCCAATACACACACAATAAGGCCCTATTCATATCTGTAAGTTTAGGTGCAATTAGGGATTCCTGCATCATGAACTTGCCTTTTTCTGCAACAGGAATGCCTAATCTGGTGTTTACAAGTGGCAGCTATCACCTATTCAAGGTAATGATCAGGTGATAGTCGCTGCATGTAAACACCTGCACACCGCATGTAATGGTATGCGATATAATTACATGCAGTTAGAAAACGCTCTCCCTGGTTGCACAATCAATGCATCCAGAGAGAGTGACTGATTGCTAACCAAATGTAATTATATCACATATCTTGACATGCAGTGTGCTGGCGTTTACATGCAGCTGCTGTCATCTGATCATTAACTTGAATAGGCGAAATCTGTCACTTCTAAAAACCAGATTAGGCATTCCTGCTGCAGGAAAACGCTAGTTCCTGATGCAGGAATTCCTAATTGCACCTAAAGATGCAGGTGTGAATGGAGCCTAGTACACTCCTACCCCCCCC